TTTTTTTCTTGCATTTTCACAAACTAATTCTCATCAGTCCATGCTTAGAAATATGTGTCGAGTCACGACCGAAGACTCATTTTTTATAATGATTAACTCTTGAATTATTGTAAACGCGGGTAACTTATAAGTGTTTACGAACTTTACAAAAAAGTTTTTAAATGTGGATTGGTGCAAGTTGGGGTCTGAGTAATGAAAAAAGACCGTTGAGTGCTTTGGGGAATTTGGATGGTAGAGACCATCCATTTTCAATGTCGGCACCGGTTTTTTATCACATACTAAGTAGGAGTGGCGGCCCCCCATGATGATGCCTTGTTGATAGTTGGCAACATAGCAGACTACGATGTCAAAAGGGTGTTGGTCGATGGTAGAAGCGCCCCTGCTGCTTCCCTCAGTACAAGATCTAGGAAGGGCCAGCCTAGTTGGGACGTCCCAATGCGCCTACTGAGTCACCAACTCTTGGCATGTTTATTTCTGCTAGAAGATCCCGGTCCATTATTGATTGATGCGAAGACTACAAACCTACCTCATTGTCCCCAACATAGCTTGACATATAACAGTAAGCAAAAAACTCTCCAGAGTCAATGCATGACCTGTTGAACTAAGGTTCTTTTTGCCAAGTGATAAACTAAAGTGTGAAACTATATCAGAATGCTCTAGTTTATTTATTTGTTTATTTTTTCAACATTGAAAAATAAACTAGAAGGGTAAATATATATCAACTGTCTTTTGTTTGGAAAGGCTCGAGCCATGCCTTGAGGCGCATGCAAATTTTCTTATTTATTGTCGGCTTAGGAAATAGAAACTTACAAAGATGCCTCTTAAGGTATACAATTATTATAGAGACACTTGCGAGTGTCTTTTCAAAAAAATTAACACTCTTATAAAGTTTATTTTCCACAACAAATTCTCCCCCACTGAGCCAAAAAGCAAGTTATGTTGCCCATTTGCATTCGTATTTTTTAAAATTTTCTATTTTCTTAAAATAAATATTTTCATAAATTAATCAATTTGGTTAATTTGCAATGTATTAAGTAAAATATTTTTTGTTTGTTACTTTCTTAATTTGTTATATTTGAATAAGGTTTGAAATTTGGATTTTTTTTTTTAATTTTCCTTTTTCAGACCAACTTTTGGTAGTGATTTTCTTTTTTTTCATTAAAGAAAAATTTTAATTTTGGCAAGTATTCTTGAGTTGTAACCATTTGTGATAAAGGGAAAAGATATAAAATTTCTTCAAGCTAAAAAACTTTCATATGTACACTAAAATTAAGAAAAAGAAAAAAAATATATAGCACTAATATCTTAGCTAGATAAGTTTTAGAATTTATTATTTAAATTTATAGATAAACTGATCCCACCTGCCTATTTGCAAAACCAGGTCGAATCGATTCACATAAACAACCAATGAGTCATTTCTCAAACATTCACCAGTGATACACCGAATAATATTATTTTGAGTATCAGTTTACATCGCATTTGAACAACCCACAACACTAACACCTTTTAGACATGAAAGAAATTATGAATATCGATTGATTTTTGTTGTCTCGCGGATCAAATCGTCCGTAAAAACTTTTCTTATCGAGAACTAGTTCATCGTGTCTAAAATGATTACGGAATATTGTATACATTCGTCATCATTAAAATATCTAAGAGGGTAGGAGAATAAGATCACCATCTTCAACCTCCACATCAGTGCTTTTGATTTTACAAAGAAAGCACTACTTGAAGTTGATTTGATATTGATTAATTATATATATATATATATATATACACACAGAGAGAGAGAGACAAGTGCAAACCAAGTCATGGCATTCTTGTCTAGAGACTTTAGGGCTGTAAATTGATTATCAGACACAAAAGCCACATCACAATTCAGAGATTAGTGTGGAAAATACATTTCTATTTCAAGTTAAAAATAAAAATTTAAATAAATAATCTTTCATAGCTAATAGTTATAATTTATTTTTGAAATTATGTAATTGGTATTGGAGCATACACTTAGAGAAATAATGCATTTTGAAATAACAGATTGACAGTGAATGTGTGGTTAAAAAATAATGAAAAATTTTGAGTTTGCGTGTAATATTATTTTATTGAAAAATGTGCGATCGAAAAGAAGAGAAAGAAAAATGTATTTTGTATATCAGTCTCGTATTAAATATTTTCTTTTTTTAAAAAGATACATAATCGACTATAGGTAGAAAAGCTTCCACATTATATTACGTAATTCATTATGCACAAGTAAAAAAAATCCAAATACATAAAATGATTTTTTTTTTTCACGGGAGTCTAAATTTAAGGTTTACAATTCCATGATTCGCTCCATCTGATAAGCAGCCTAGTTTTCCGTAAAGTTTAGTTTACTGCTTTTCAAAAGCAGCTTTTTTTCAATCAAAGATTCACGTGAAAATAAGTAAAAATCTCAATTGATATGATGTACAACTGTACAAGAGGACGGACATCTGTAGAGAGTGACGTAAGAGAATATCTCAGCATTCATAAATTTAATCTAGCATGGTCTGTGCAAGGTTATACAAATAACAAAACTTTATATTTTATGATTTCACGACAATTATATGTGTAAAAATAGATTGGGTGGTCCAAAATAAAATTAGTTGACATTGTTTCTAAACATGATCCGTGCACGGATAGAGATGTTAATAGGTCGAGTCGAGCCGAGCTTGGCTCGATTCGTGGCTAGTGGAGAAACAAGCCACGAGCCGAGCTGAATCGTGGCTCGTTTGCTCGTGGACGAGCTCGGCTCGGCTCGGCTCGGCTCGTGAGCAGGTGCCCACGAGCGCTGGCCCGCTCGGTTCGTGCAAGACGAGCCCGAGAGACTCGTGGGTCGCTGTAGTATGAGCCGAACGGTCGAGCCGACGAGCCACTGGGCTCGATTGCCACCACTAGTCACGGATGCCAAAAACAAATGTTCTTAATTCCTTTTCTAAATAAATTGATTTGTAGGTCGACCCTGCCAAGTTTGGTTTAGATCGTAAAATAAATGTAGCTCAAATATAGGCTAAGTTTGTTCAACACAATCAATCTTTACTTGTCTCAAACAGGCGGGACTAAACAAAATTCGAGTACAATCTAGACAAAGGATATTTAGATAAATATTAGTCATTTTCTCTAAAAACATAAACTTTAGGCAAAATGGTTGAAGATGGCATTATACTAGAAAATTAATTTTTATGTAAGTAATTTTTTGAGATTTTTTAAAAAAAAAATATTTCAATCATATATTCTATGAGACTTAATAACTTTTTCTTACTTTTTAGCGATATATTTTCTAAAAACAATAATCTTTCACTTAGAAAAACTCTCTTCCAAATAAATTCTTACAAAATATATTGGCTAATTGTCACTTGAATGAGAAAATCAAATTCACTCTACACATAGAATAGACCAAATTGTAATCTCTCTCTCTCTCTCTCACAAACACACACACACACTTACAATTTTAGAGGAAGACGTAACAAACATGTCTCTAAATCCTCGTAGTTTTTTAATATTTCGTTTTCACAAAAATCCAAATCATGAAGTGAGGAAAGAGGAAAATTCAAACTTTGTTTCACTCTCTCTCTCTCTCTCTCTCTCTCTTTTTTTTCTGGGTTTTTTTGTTGAAAAATTACAACGATGGTACGTAAAATTAATTGAAGTTGGCAATCAATGTAGCTAGCTATTGATCGATTGTTATTTCGTCCGTTTATGCATTTTTGAATTTTTTATAGTTCCCATTTGCAAAAAAAAAAAATATAGATTTCCTTTTTGGAATTTTTGACTAAGTGTGACAAAGACACTCTCGAGCAAGAATTTATTGCTATCAAACAGAAAAATCAAACAAAGATATGAATTAAATAAAACTTTTGGTCATGGAAGTGCATTTTATATCTTCAACATGGGACCTAACAAATTCATTTTTCATCAAATGCACATTATATTTATACTTTTATAACCATCTATTGATTAAATTTCAACTCGAATATCTCCATGCTTTGAAGTTGTTCTTATCTTCAGTTTATTCTCCCATCTTAAAATGTGAATCTCGACATAGGAGTAATCAATGTATCGATCATAATTCTCGTATTTCAACTTGTCGAATTTTACTCTTAATAGTGTTAACATCATCTAATTTAAAAGTTTAAAATGTTAAAAGGGAATACAAACTTATTTTTTTTTTAAAAAAAGCAACGATGATATTGTTCGCTTTTTTGAAATAAAATCATATTACTTTAAAACTAAATCAAGATTTAAAAAACGTATCTCATCTGATTCAAACACATAAATTTGAACCTAGAGACTTCGATCATACGTTTTTGGATTATTCTATGTATACACCTTGTGGTTTACACAATCTTTTACACCCCCTCACATGGAGGGGAGCCCACAACTATTTTATTATGTGTGGGTCCCTCTCCATGTGAGAGTGGTGTAAAAGATTGTATACACCATTGTATACATATAGCACTACCCTACGTTTTTATAAAAAAAATAGAGTTATAAACTCTCAAAATACACTTCTTTTTTTTTGGGTGGGTGGAGGATGGGGTTATGGTTTTGTAATTGAACACCAATAATGCAGTTCATGAATTAGCTTAAAAAAGAACATGACTAATCCATCATCGTCATTAATGACGATATTTTTAAAAGATTAAAAAAGTCAACTTTTCATGATCAAATCTTCTCTGTCACCGCACGTTCATTGGACTTCAATTTTGTATACAAGTATATGAATGTAAGTTGTATGGAAACCCCCACGCTACCCCGAAACCCCACCTAAAAGTCTCATTCGATCCCGAGAAATCCTTTCCTATATATACACACATTGTCCTTCTCATCCTTGTTAAATGACAAAAAGCCATTTGCAGAAGCAAACCCACAAATTGTAGCGAAGAAACAAGAACAACAACAGTAGAGACTTTGAATCTCTCTCTCTCTCTCTCTGTCTCTCACTGTGTTGTTTTGTTTTTAGTTAAAGTCAGTGACCAGAAGATATGGGTAATAAAAGTGAGATTATAGAGAATAATAATAAGAAGGAAAATGGTTCTTTTCGATCAATTTTTATGCATGCAGATAGTTACGACGCCGTGTTGATGAGTTTTGGGATCTTGGGAGCCATTGGCGATGGAATTTCCATGCCAGCTATGCTTTTAATAACCAGCAAACTCATGAACAGTTTTGGCGGTGCAAACAATTCCATTACACAAAATTTCACTGATAACATCAACAAGGTTTGTGTATGTATATAAGCATGTATTTTACAATTTTTATTTATTTATTTATTTTTTCAGTTGTGTTTGATTTGTTACTCATTGTGGGGTGAGCCAGATAAGAAGGGGCTAACACGATAATGGCAGACAACAGAGATAATTAGTTCTACAATTTCGCTACGTTTTCATTTTCTGCAGTATTTTACTGTTACACTTACAGCCATTAATGGTCTGCAATTAATTTGTTTCTTGAAGAAAGAAAAGATACCACTTTTCGGTATATATTATTTTATTTAATTTTTTGGCCCATTGGCGAGTGAGGTGAAGAGTGCAGTTGAGGAAAAGTTGGATTTTTCCTTTTAAGCAAAAAAATGCATTTTAGGTTTCGTGGAAGACAAATTATGACAAAAACAATACTAACTTGATTAATTTGGCATTTGTGTTGCAGAATGCAGTGGTTTTGTGCTATATGGCATGTGGACAGTGGCTTGCTTGTTTTCTTGGTAGGTACCTTTGTATTAAACTACAAATTTTAATTCCCCATTTCTAGCCCTGAATTTTCTTGGTGATTTTTCAAATTGTTATCTGAATTTTTGGTTTTATTTTTAATCATATTTTATTCTTAATTAATTTAGAGGGATATTGCTGGACAAGAACAGGAGAAAGGCAAGCTTCAAAATTAAGAACAAGATATTTAAAAGCAGTCATGAGACAAGATGTAGGATATTTTGATTTGCATGTTACCAGCACTGCTGAGATTATTACAAGTGTCTCTAGCGATAGTCTTGTCATTCAAGATGTCATTAGTGAAAAGGTTAGTAACTCTTTTTTCTATCACGACAAGTTTAGCGTGGCAAACTAGACAAGATTAAAGAAGCAAAAAAGTAAATCATGCCACTTAATGTTTAATTCTATCACTCATCAAGCTAGTCACATATCACGTATGGCGAGTTGCATATGATCAAAGAATAGGAAATTTCACGTTCAATACTATTTCGTGATTGTATTGTATATACAATACAAAGTTAGTATAGATTGATTGTACTATTCACCTATCCTAGTGTCCGTCGAATGAATTCACGAACATTCTAATACTTTCTTCGAACATAGAGGATTCGTCGTAAATACTATATATTTACAAAACTTTACATATTGCACGAATCCGTCATACATTCGATAATTTCTTCTAGTGAATGAGCCTGTAGACAAGTGAACATACATTGAAAATATGTGTGTACATTCTTGATTACAATATTTTCTACTTATTAATAATCTCATAATTGAGATTAATGTTTAATCTATTGAACTCTAACGTCTTTTTGGATTCAACAAACAGGTACCAGTGTTTGTGATGAACTTATCAACTTTCTTTGGTTCCTACATAGTGGGATTCATATTACTTTGGAGGCTAGCCATAGTAGGATTTCCCTTTATCGTACTTCTCATCATCCCAGGTTTAATGTACGGAAGGGCTCTTATGAGCATTGCGAGAAAGATCAGGGAAGAGTACAGTAAAGCTGATACGGTAGTGGAACAGGCAATTTCTTCAGTTCGGACAGTTTATTCTTTTGTTGGAGAAAGCAAAATAATTACAAAATACTCTGCTGCTCTTCAAGGGACTGTTGAATTGGGATTAAAACAGGGTTTGGCTAAAGGATTAGCCATTGGAAGTAATGGTGTGGTTTTTGCAATTTGGTCCTTCATGTCTTATTATGGGAGCAGATTGGTCATGTACCATGGGGCTCAGGGCGGCACTATTTTTGCAGTCGGCGCCGCCATCGCCATCGGCGGATTGTGAGTATCTCGAACTTTTCTCTATTTATTTTTGAACTTAGCCAAACATTCTGGTGTTAATAGTTATTTTTTTTTTTTTGCACATTAGTTGATTAATTTGCTGATAACAAATTTCTTTAATTCTTTGAATAGAGCATTGGGTGCTGGATTATCAAACCTGAAGTTCTTCTCCGAAGCAAGTGCAGCTGGTGAACGCATAATGGAAGTCATAAAAAGAGTGCCCAAAATCGATTGAGACAATTTAGAAGGACAAATCCTACAAAAAGTTTCAGGGGAAGTCGAATTCAAACACGTTGAGTTTGCATACCCCTCAAGGCCCGAAAGCACAATTTTGAAAGATTTCAATCTGAAAATTCCAGCAGGAAAAACAGTAGCATTGGTTGGAGGAAGTGGGTCTGGAAAATCAACGGTAGTTGCCCTTTTGCAGAGATTTTATGATCCTTTAGGAGGTGAAATTTTGCTTGATGGTGTCGAAATTGATAAATTGCAATTGAAATGGCTGAGATCACAAATGGGTTTGGTGAGTCAGGAGCCGGCACTGTTTGCCACTTCTATAAAAGAGAATATACTTTTTGGGAAAGAGGATGCATCCATGGAAGAGGTTATTGAAGCTGCGAAAGCTTCAAATGCTCATAATTTTATTTCCCAGTTGCCTCAAGGTTATGACACACAGGTTCGTGTGGCTAGCACTTTTACATTTGGTCATGCTTAAGAGTAACCTAAAACTTACTTTTCATTGGAACTATGCCAATATTTTTATTTTTGGGAAGAATTTAGATGTTCGTAGGATTGCTTAAGAGAAAAGTTTATTATGTTGGACAAAGCAGTTCCTCTCTCAGTGGCTCATTGAATTGCTTGTGTTATACATTTTTTATACATACTTTCTGTTTAATGTAGGCATACAATAGTAGTCTGGACATGAACTTCACTGATAGAAATGATTCACGATTGTTCTTCAAGATTCAGTGTAGGTTGAATATCTTCAAACTTGTGTTCACAAGTTAAGATAAATTTATCATGTCACTGTTCACAAGTTTAGATTAATTTGTCCTCTCCGAAGAATCTTAAACAGTTCAAACTACTTAAGTTGTCATATTGTTATTCTTGTGGATTTTTTATTCACAAGTGGATCTATAATAATAGTTATTAGAATATTGTTGAAAGTAGCCTTTAATATTCTTATAAAAATTACTTTTGTAAGAAAGGAACTAGATCAACCCTCCCCAGCAACCTTCAGAAACATCGAGCATCTAATTAAACTTAAATATAATTGCTTAATTTTTTAATTATAGAGAACATTGTCATAAAAAAACATCCTAAGTTATCTCCACGACATACGTAGTCTGTGTTCATTTCATTATTTGAGAAAATATACATTAGAAACATGTCAAAGTCTGTAACACACTTGTTTATTCTCTACATTAATAATTAATTATATTTAGATCTAACTAATTCTGATTTTGGCTTAACATAATCATCCGTCTTCCCACTAAACAAATCATGTTTGCTCATGCTAGGTAGGGAAACACTTAAAAAAGTCAGAGGATTAATGAAATTTAATTTTGACTGTTCATTTAACATAGTAAATTTTTTAGAATTTCTGGCACGAGTATCGTTCTTTCGAAACAATGGTGTGTTTGTTATGCTTGACTCAGTACAACTAGACAATTGCTATATCTCATGTCGCTGTCTTCTTTAACCATGTCCATATAATGTCTATTCCTGTGAACCGAACATGCTATAATGACTTCGTTTGTAAGTTGTATTTGTATAGCACTACACAATATTAAAGAAAAGTAAATTAAAATCTTGTGCAATGTATTGTCCAGTTGTCTATAGTTTTACATGCCAAACATGCACTTAATGTTTCATCACAGTTATTGGTAACTCAAACATGTATGCTAATGCAGGTGGGTGAGAGAGGAGTACAGATGTCTGGGGGGCAAAAGCAGAGAATAGCAATAGCTAGAGCTGTAATTAAAGCACCAAAAATTCTCCTGCTTGATGAGGCCACCAGTGCATTGGACTCAGAATCAGAACGAGTGGTCCAAGAAGCACTGGATATGGCAGCCATGGGTCGGACAACCATCATCATAGCCCACCGCCTCTCAACTATCCGAAATGCTGACCTCATTGCAGTGGTGCAAAATGGTCAGGTCATGGAGATGGGCTCACATGATGAGCTTATTGAAGATGAACATGGCTTATACACTTCTCTTGTCCGCCTTCAACAGACTCAGAAAAGCGAATATACAAGTGCTAATAGTATTATTGCATCGGCATCCATTGCTAACACTGATATTTACAACACGAGCAGTCGAAGATTATCAATTATGAGTCGGTCCAGTTCAGCTAACTCTGCTGCACCAAGTCGAGGATTGGAAATGACAACAGTTTCCAGTGATCAAGTCGTTGCAGTACCTTCATTTAAAAGACTACTAGCAATGAACTTGCCTGAATGGAGGCAAGCAATAATGGGGTGCACAGGTGCAATATTATTTGGTGCAGTTCAGCCAGTGTATGCATTTGCAATGGGATCGATGATCTCTGTGTATTTCCTACCGGATCATAGTGTTATTAAGGAGAGAACAACAATATATGCCTTGTGTTTTGTTGGGCTAGCTATTTTCTCACTTTTGATCAATATATGCCAGCATTATAATTTTGCAGCCATGGGGGAGCACTTGACAAAGAGAATCAGAGAGAGAATGCTGTCAAAAATGCTCACTTTTGAAATTGGGTGGTTTGATCAGGATGAGAATGCAACTGGTGCTATTTGCTCGAGACTGGCCAAAGATGCCAACGTGGTATGTGACCAACTATACCTTCTATCATGAAAATGTTGTCTATTATTATCATAGTTATATTCTTCTATTGGTTGATAATTACTCCATACTATAAGTAGTTATAATGAATGAGGTTGGGTTTAAAACCACTGTTTGAACAGCAGTATTAACTGTGCTAATGTGCCTGGGATGATCCACATCTCAAGTTAGCAAGCATACTTCTAATGGAATAAATTTTCCCTCTTTTTTAAGACAACCAAGTAAAGGTCCAGCTATTTTCAATATACTATTCTTCTGTTGGAAGAAGTTTCAAAATTTTCCTCAATCAGTGATGAATATAGCTTAGGGGACATTTGAAATGCGAAAGTGAATGTGAATGATAGTTACTAAACGTTGGCTTTAAATTCTATAGGTAAGGTCTTTGGTGGGTGATCGGATGGCACTACTCATCCAAACTTTCTCAGCTGTGACAATTGCTTGCACCATGGGTCTGGTTATTGCATGGAAGCTCGCATTGGTAATGATAGCCGTGCAACCACTTATCATAATTAGTTACTATTGCAAGCGTGTCCTCCTGAAAAACATGTCCAGAAAGGCCATTAAAGCCCAAGATGAAAGTAGCAAACTTGCAGCAGAAGCTGTATCCAATCTCAGAACTGTGACAGCCTTCTCATCCCAAGCCCGTATTCTTGAGATGCTCGAGAAAGCCCAAGAAGGCCCCCAAAAGGAAAGTATTCGCCAGTCATGGTTTGCTGGTATTGGACTGGGTACCTCCCAGAGCCTAATGACTTGCACTTGGGCTTTAGATTTTTGGTATGGTGGCAAACTTATTGCAGAAGGCTTCATTGGAGCAGAAGCATTATTCCAAACTTTCATGATTTTGGTGAGCACTGGCCGTGTCATTGCCGATGCTGGGACTATGACAAACGATCTAGCTAAAGGTTCGGATGCAGTTGGATCAGTATTTGCTGTGTTGGATCGATATTCATTAATCGAACCTGAAGATCCGGAAGGCTACAAACCTAATAAGTTAACTGGCCGTGTCGAACTGCATGGTGTTGATTTTGCCTACCCTGCCCGGCCTGATGTGATGGTCTTCATAGGGTTTTCGATTAACATGGAGGCAGGAAAATCGACTGCATTAGTAGGACAAAGTGGGTCAGGAAAATCAACTATTATAGGCTTGATAGAAAGATTTTACGATCCACTTAAAGGTGTCGTGAAGATTGATGGGCGAGATATCAGGTCATATCACTTAAGATCGCTAAGGAAGCACATTGCACTTGTTAGCCAAGAGCCAACATTATTTGCTGGTACCATACGTCAAAATATTACCTATGGTGCATCCGAAGATATTGATGAATCAGAAGTCATTGAGGCAGCTAAGGCAGCAAATGCTCATGACTTCATTGCTGGCCTGAAGGATGGATATGACACGTGGTGTGGTGACAGAGGGCTGCAGCTATCTGGCGGCCAGAAGCAAAGAATCGCAATAGCCCGTGCCATCTTGAAAGATCCAGCTATTTTGTTATTAGATGAGGCGACCAGTGCCCTCGACAGTCAGTCGGAGAAAGTGGTGCAAGATGCACTTGTGCGTGTGATGGTTGGAAGGACTAGCGTAGTTGTGGCACACAGGCTAAGTACCATACAGAATTGCGACGTGATTGCTGTTTTAGATAAAGGAAAGGTAGTTGAAAAGGGGAACCACTCTTCCTTATTGGCTAAAGGGCCAACTGGAGCATATTATTCACTAGTTAGTCTTCAAAGAACGCCCAACAACTCGGAAATCAACTAACTTTCTTTTAAGGTAATTAGGCAGTACATTTGGTAATGTGGACTCGACGATATTGGATAGTACTCAATACCAAACACATTCTTATTGTTCTATAATAAAGTTGAGGTGGGAAAATAACGAATGACAAACTTGTACTATTCAGAAGTCTAGATAGCTTTCCTACTGCTCTAGAATTATGTATCGTATTCAGATTATAACTTCCACTGAAACCTTCTTTACACGAGTCATTGTAATAATAAAATATATACTTCATTATTGACTCTTTTAATTCTATTCTTTTAAAATATTGTTTATAATTACCAATATTTTGATAAAAAATATTATGCACGGATGCCATTTCTCTTTTTATTATTTCTTTTCTTTAATGAATAAAGAAACTTTATTAAACTTTTTTTGTGCTGTCGAAATAAGTTTACACGAAAATGTGTTTTAAAAAATTTCTAAAAATTAGGAGCCAAATCTTAACAGAAAATTGGGAGTATTAAAAACTATTAATTTTTAAAATAAAAGAACAATTCTTTTTATTTACTTCGGTCTAAAAAATATTTAAATAACTACACGAATTTAACGTGGTTCATATTCATCGAAAAATAGAAGTTTGCAGTAGTTATTATTCCTTAGTAATTTTTTGTTAAAATGGCAAAGACAAATGGCTTACACAACCTCTTAGGTCTTAGCTGTTACTGAATGAGGTTGTATCATGTTTTTGTTATTGTATTTTTTTTCTTATTATTTTGGATTGTATTAGAATATATTTTCATGTGTATGATTTTTATGTTTTCTTGTATTTATATATTGATTGAAGAAATTTTCAATATCATTTAATTAATAATAAATAATTTCGTTATCGTGGCCGTTGACGGTCAACAATCACTCTAGCTCATTCGAGATCTTGGATTCTCCACTACATGGCAGGCTTCTGCAAAAGCAAAAGCCAAATTGCTTGAACCATGCGTACGCATGGTAAAATAAATTAGTCGTTAGGCTGATTTTTTATTTTGATTTCTTGGTGGTTTTTCATGAAAAATTATATATTTTCATAAAATATTAGCACCGAATCATCGGGCACGGATGAAAAACTATAAATTTCCATGCTTTGAGTGCACAAAAAACCAGATGTTCATTATTCGTCCTCGAATATAAATTTCAAAATAATTTTTATTGTTCTTGTTTCTATAAAGAGTTTTTCACTTTATTGTTTTGAGAAAACTCTTAAAATCTTTTCATATCCTATAAACTATTTGTCGAGAATCTTAAAAGCAATCCGAGTGGGGGCAAATATCATTTTCAGGAAGGCGTATTGTATATATGTTTTGGGCCTCATTTTAGTTTCTTAATACTTGGCTCAAGTTTTTGATTCCCCGGCTTCTCCTGTTTCAAAAAGCAGATTTCTAACAATCTGAAAACAATATTTTCTTCTACATGGAAACGAAAACAAATTTATCAACCATCAAGTTGATGAACCAATACTTGATTCGTTTAGATAGGTTCGATGGAACGAATTTTACTCAGTGGCAAGACAAACTTGAGTTCTTTTGACAACATTGAAGATATTCTATGTTTTTTTTTATTGAAATTTAGCATCGATTTCTTAACAGTTAGATCAAAATTTTGAAGAAGTATGGGCTAAATGAAAGAAAAGACAAGGATGAATTGATTTTTCGTGGTCATGAAAGAAAATGCAATATTCGAATGATAATATGATTTCTACACCAGCACCACTTTGGCTAAATAAATTTGATAAGCACTTGAGAATAAATACAAAATTGAGGAGGAACGTACCAAAAAAATTAATTTTAAAATAAATGTTAGATATATCCCTTTGTTGTCTCAGGTACATGAACGACAAGTTATTGCCAATAAGTTGAAGGCAGTGAAGATTAAACTTCCTGAATCTTTCAAGTCGTAGAAATCATTGCAAATTGCCTCCAACTTGAAAGGGTTCTAGGAAGAAATTTTTTCTTTAACTTAGAAGACTTTTCATTAGAACATATTCAAAAGCATCTTGGCATCGAAGAAGAATCAAGGGCACAAGATAATAATGAAAGTTCTTATGATAATACTTCAAAAACCAATGTTGTGAACAAAACTGATCATTCCAACAAAAGCAAAAAAAGAAAAAAAAAAAGAAGAAAAGAAAAGCCTCTTGATCTTAAAAAGGATTAAGAGAAGTTAAAAAAGAAGCACAAATGACCATGCTATGTTTGTGAAAAATTGAAAAATTATGCAAGAGATTGCAGGTATAAAAAGCAATCAAAGAAGGAGGAAAAGGTGAACTCCATTGAAGAATTGTCATTACGATGAACGAAATCAATGTAATTTAAAGCAAAGTTTCAGGTTAGTGGTATAATACTTGTGCAACTGTCCATGTTTGTTTTGATAAGTCACTTTTCAACTCTTTTCATGAAATTAGTTATGGACAAGAGATTCAAATGGAAAATAAAGGTCTCTCCAAAGTTATTAGCAAATGAAATGTTGATATCATCTTTACTTCAGGAAAGAAGACAACTTTGGCCAATGTGCTTCACTTACATACCATATATTAATAGAAACTTCGGAAGTGGAGTTTTTTGTGTAAATCAGGGATTAAATGTGTATTTGAGTTAGGCAAATTTATATTAACCCAAAATGAATATTTTTTTAGTAAATGTTAATCTAATGATGGAATGGTCAAGTTATGTACTATTGAGAATGATTATTTAATAAACAATAAATCTTTTGCTTATATGGTTGATTCATTTACTTTGTGGCATTGTGAATTATCACACATGGGCATTAGTACTATGAAAAGGGCGATCAAATATGGATTTCTATCCATGAATTTAATAAATTTGATAAATATTTGTGTTATATAAAAAATGATTAAAAAGTAATTTCGTAGTGTAGAAATAACATTTCAATTACTAGAATTTGTGCATTCTAACATTTGCGAATTAAATGGGTTATTTATTAGTGGATGCAATAGATACTTTATGACATTTATTGATGACTTCTAGATATACTTATGTATATTTGATAAAACATAAAGATGAAGCCTTTAATGTATTTAAAGTATACAAGGTCAAAGTTGAAAATAAATTAGAAAGAAAAATAAAAACTCTTAGAAGTGATAGATGTGCAGAATGTTTTTCAATTGAATTCAACATATTTTGTGAACGAAATGACATTATACGCCAATGTTCTGCACCATGCACACCTAACGAAAATGGTTTGGTTGAAATAAAGAATATAACTTTCTTAGAAATGGTTAATGCACTAATGAATGCTGAATTAACTTTTAACTTGTGGGTGAAGCTTTACTTAGTCATGCAGCCAATAGCTTTCCTTTGAAAAAGAAAAAAAGTTTTCTCCATATGAGATGTGGAAAGGAAGGAAATCAAACATATGATATTTCAAAGTGTGTGGAGTCTTCCTTATTAAAAGAATACAGATCTTTAAAGAACCAAAATTTGTCCTAGAAGCGTAAAATGTGCTTCTATAGGACATGCATCAAACAGTAAGGTTTATCGATTATTAAATTTGGAATCCAACGTTATAATAGATTCAAGAAATGTGGAATTTTTTGAGAATGTAACGGCTACAAGAAACTTTCAAACACCTAATGGAACTCAAGAAGAAATTCCCATTTCTAGAGGATCACAAGTAGAAAATCTTCGAAAGACGTCGAACAATCAAATGAACCTCAAAGAAGCAAGATAGTAAGAAAAAGGGTTTGGGATAAGACGAAATAGACGCCCAAGTTATATCTCTTTACTTGATCGATGGAGATAGGAATGATGTTGTGAGAACAATTCTTTTTGTTCTTCAATTTGAAAGTGATAATAAAACTTATGAAAAAACAATGTGTTATAGTGATTGTATATTTTGAAAAGATACAATAAACGATTAGATGGATTCTATTATTTCCTATAACACTTGGAAACTTGTCGATTTACCACAAAGATCAAAACCTATTGAATACAAATGGATGTCTAGAAGAAAATATAATTCCGATGATACTCTTAACATCGATAGAGCTAGATTAATAGCTAAATGGCATTGATAAAAGAAAGAATCGACTATTTCAACACATGTACCTGTAACTAGAATAACATCCATAAGAGTTTTATTTGCATTGGTATCCATATTTGATTTGCATTTGCATCAAATGGATGTTAAAATAACATTCTTAAATAGAGATATCTATGATGAGGTCTATATTAAACAACTATAAGGGTTTGTTCTATCGGGAAATGAACTCAAAGTAGGCAAATTGCTTAAGTCTTTACATGGATTAAAACAAGCGTCCAAAAAATAGCATGAAAATTTTGATTTTATCATCATGTCATATGGTTTTACTCATAACTTAGTTGAGAAATTTTTATATACTAAAGTGTGTGATGATACTTTTATATTTGTGTCTCTATGTTGATGATATATTGATTATTAGTAATGATATGAAAGGAATTAAAGAAACAAGGAAATTTCTCTCTTCCACATTCAAAGTGAAGGATCTTGGACAAATGAATATTATCCTTAATATCAAAGCTAAAAGAGATAGTAAGGATTATTCATTAAGTCAATCACATTATATTGAAAATGTGGTGAATAAGTTCAAACATTTGAACATTAAAGAAGTAAATATCATGTTGGATCCAAGAATCAAACTAGTAAAGAATGATGGAAGAACAATAGCAAATTGTGTATGCATATAGAAGTAGAAGTCTTGTGTATGTAGTATAATGTACAAGACGGATTATTGCATTTGTTGTTAGTAAACTAAGTAGGATTACTAGCAATCTAAGTTCTGAACATCGGAAGGCAATTGGAAGGGTTGTTGGTTACCTAAAGAAAATAAAAAACCTTGGATTACAATATTCAAAGCTAATATAATTCTAGAGGGATATACTGATTCTAGTTGGATATTTAGTGCTTGAGAAACCAAATTCAAGCTGAGAGTTTACTCTTGGTGGAGGTTCAATTTCTTGATGGTCTAAGAAACAAACATGCATTACACACTC